ACTAATGGAGGAGCACACTTAATTTTTCCAATTACTGCCACCCAGTAATTGGAGGATGGTAACTGGGGAATTGTTTCTACCGTTTGGTCAAAGTTTACACTTGTTTTTATTTGCCAAAAAAAAAAAGTACATAAAGACGACGGGAGAAAACTTGCAACTACATTACCCCTTTTCTCCCTCGCCAGAAGTTTCAACTGAACTTCCAGACTTTCAGGAGCAGAGAGAGGCCATGTCTGTCTGATAGGAAGAGATGGGAGGAACCCATGATTTAAAACTCTCGGTTCGCAAGGGCGTTCAGCAGAAGTTGCCCCGCTCTTAAACACCTACATTTTAAGGCAGCCCTGCAATGCAAAATTCAATTCAATTAACTTTACAGAAGAACACCCGCTTGAACTTCCGTTCCCCACTTTCTAGATGCGTTGGACTACAAAGCTCTATCATCCCCAGCCAGGTAGCCAGCTTGGAGCTGGAGCACCAAGTGGGCCAAGCCTGCTTTCAGAATAAAAATAAAAATAAAAGTCGGCGTTTAAAGAAAAAGAGAAAGTGTCAGATCAGGCTGGTGCATTCAACTCCCATTGCATCCACCCGCCTGCAAACAAGAAAGCAATGAATGAGCCATTCCAAGAAGGGAATCAAGGGCCCCGCCGGCTGGACAGCTCATAACAGTCCCCGGGCCCCGCGCTCTGAATGCGGCATCAACAGCCCTGCCTTAACGCGTTCCTTCTCCGCCTCCTGCCGGGCTTGGCCCCGCCCCCGCCGCCCGGGCCCCGGACCGAGCATGGCGCAGCGCCAACTGGGCTGGAGAGCGGCCACCCCGAACCCCGGACTCTGCATAGCGGCCGCCGCTTAACGAACCCCGGAATCTGTATAGGCGGCCCGCTGGGGTAGCAGCTGCGAAGAGCGTTCGATGGCTATTCAGGTTTCTGGGCTCTCCTCCCCCCGCCCCCTCTGCGCCACCTTAACCTTCACCCACCCCTTTTCGCACACAATGGGAGCGCCCCCGCTCAAGCTTTCCATTGGGAGGGCTGGACTGAACCATGCGACGGCGGGGGGGAGGGGTTAGGAAAGAAAAGAGGAGGAAAGCGAGGGCGAGCGCATCGCCAGGGATCGGATCGGCTTCCGAAGGGCCGTTGGTGGCTCCCCCCTAAGGCTTGTCTCCTCCTCACTTCACCCCCCGCACCTTACAAGGGAGGTGGACGCACCCAGCGCCCGCACTCACCTCGGGATCCACAGTGGCCATGGCCGGAGCAGCCCCGAAGCGTGGCCCCGCCCCCTTTTCGAAAGCTCGCCGAGCGCGGCCCCTCCCCGGCCCCGCCCTCTTCATTCATTTGCTCGGGAGGGGAGAGCAGTGCG